CGGTGCCCGCGCAGCACCCCGCGGGCCTGCGCCCCGCGCAAATCTCAGGGCCCCTACCTCGCGCACCCGACCTCGGGCGCAACGCCCCAACGATGGGCGCGGCGACCGAGCCAGGGCCGCCGCCCCGCGAGCGCCCCGCGCAGGGGGCGCGCGCAAGGCCTGCCGCGACCCAATGGACCCACGGACGCAGGTCGCAGTGAGCGCCGAGCGCGCGCCTGAGCCACTGACTCCGCAGGCACCGACGCAGAACCTGGTCCGCTCCCGCGCTGGCGCTTGGGCACGAAGCGGCGGCCACCGCTTGGGCGGTCGCACCACACTCGCGCTGGCGCATACCTAGATATTATTCGAAAGCGCGGGAGCTCCAATCGGCACCGAGGAGGAACTCGCGCACAAATGCGCGCGAGAAATCTTCGCACCGCGCGCACTACGCACGTCCAGTGCGAATGTTCGCGTCAACAACTCCGCGCCGCCACCGTCGGGCCGCTGCGATTCTCGCGCCGCGAGAAATGCATCGTCGCCCGAAAAGAATAGGACGACTCTTGCTATTGGCCTGCGCGGGTCTCGGTCTGAGAAAGCGAAAGCTCGCGAACGCCAGCGGGTCGCCTCGCTCCATCAAGAAGGCCTCGGAGGGCACGCGCAAAGCGAACCCCCGGGACACCGAGAATAGCGCGTGCAGCGCGCGGTCGGCACTAACAAAATCGAACATTGCCGGTAGTCGCGAGAGCAGCGCGAAAGGCCTCGGCGGCCTCCTCATCGGGCGCCGCTTCCCGATGGCCTCGCGGGCCCCCCTAACCGACGGGTGCGACGAGGCAGACGCGCCCCGGCCCCGCTGCTGGGACGCCTTCTTAAGCTGCGCCACGCAACTGCCGAAGGCGCGCGGGCTGCGAAACTGCAGCGCGAACGAACGCGCTTCGTCGGCCGACGGCGGCAGCGCGCTGAAGCCGTCTTCGTCGAGCCGACGCTGTGCGAAAGCCATCCACGTTCGGACTGCTGCCCTCCGAGAACCGAAGGGTCGCGGCGCCGAGCCAACGATTGCCAACGCACGCGCGCGGGCCAGACTTGCCTGGATGGCCGCCGGCGAAGGGGCCCCGCGATCGCCGCTCGCGATGGACTTGCGAGGGCCACCTTTGGGCGCGGGTGACAGTTGCGCGGCGCGCGCGGCCCTGCAAGCGCGCGTGCTCGCGCCTCGCCTCTCTGTCGCACGCGACACCCTGCGCGAGCGCGCCCAGGCTCCCGCCCTGGCGCGCACTAGGTGCAACAAGGGCACTTGAGCGAGCCAGATCCAGTTGACTCGGCACGCGGGGCGGCGCTGGCGGCGGCCCGCGAGGAGGCCGCGGAATCCCCGCCGCGATCTCGCGCAAATGCTCCTGGGCGTCTGCGGTGAATTGCTAAGCCTACAACGCGCCCCCACTTCGCTCCGCGTGCGTCAGCGACGCGTCCGAGACCGTTCTCGACCAGCACTTTCGCACTCAGGTAAAGCTGCTCGCCCCTGCCCGCGCGCCTCTGCAGCCGCTCGATCCCGGCGGCGCGCGCGCTGGCCGGAGCGCCCGGCCCGCCCGCCCCGCGCAGGCTTGCGCCAGGCGCGCCACTTCCACGGCACAAGTAAACGCGCCGAGCGGCGCCGCGACACGTGGCCAAGCGGGCAGGCCCCCCGCCGCGCGATTGGCGCGCGCTGCAGCGGCGGCGCGCGACAGGGAGGGCACGGGGGCGAGGGGGAAAGGAAGCCGCAGAAGGGGGGAGGGAGCAGTCCGCGCTCCCAGCGCGGCGCGCGCGGACGCGAATAGGAAGACGCCCTGCGCCCCCAGCGCGGCGCCAACCCAAGGAGCGGACACGACCAACGGCGAAGGGACACGACCGTCGACGATGGCCTTTCTTTTTCGCATTCAAAGCCACAGCGCTTCCAAAACCTCAGGCGCGCGCAATTGCGCATCTAGTGCCGCGGCGCCGGTGGGCGAGAGCTGCGCGACCCCGGCCTCGGGCGCTCGCGCGCGCCACTGGCCATTCGGCCCCCGAATTGCCCGAGGGCGCTTCCAACGCGCGACCTACCAGGCGCCCTTCAAATGACGACCAACCTGATGCGATCGCCAAGACCGCGAGGTCCATTGTCTGACCGTCGCGTCTGCTTTTGAAAGCATCAATACTGCGTCGGGCGCGCATTCAGCACGCAAGATTTCGCCGTCTATAAATAAGACGGCGGCGGCGCGAGGGGGCGTGCTCCGCGCGTCGCAGAACGCGCGCGCCGCGGGCATCCCCCCTTGCTTCCATCGACTTCGCGCAGCCTGAGCTCGAGCACTTGGGCCCACCAGCGCAGCGAGAGCACGAGGGGCCGCCTGGCGCGATTGGACCGCTCGCGCTGGCGCGCGAAGAGGTGGGCGGAGCATTGCTCTGCCTAAGCGGAGCACTGCTCTGCCTAAGCGTTTAAACATATGCTGCGCGGCCCATGCGACACCGCCCGCGAGTTTCTTCGCTGCGCCCTGGTGCAAAGCGCCGCGCGCCACAGCGCGCCAGAAGACGGACGACCACTTGACCGCTCGTCGACCGCAAGTTCGCAGGGCACGTCCTGCGCACAGGAAGAGAAGAGCAGCCCCAACGCGACCAGCTGGGCCCCGCGCACCAGCCTCGCGTCGGCTACTGCGCCGCCGCCGGGCGCGGCTCTAACGACGCGAGCGAAGCGCCGCGTCGCGCGGGCCGCGGCGCCGAGTCGATCGGGCGGGACATCATCGTCCACGCATCGCGACACAGGCGGCTCGGCGAGCCCCGCGGCGGCCACGCGTCCCCAGTCGCGGCAAGATGCTAGCGCCGAGCGGGCAGACCTGGCGCTGAGAGCACCACATGCGGGCGCCCTCCTTGAAACTCTGACTGCAGCCCACCTTTCGGCAGGAGCCTGCGGAATGCGGAGGCAAGCGGAATCTACGCCCGCGTTCCACAGCTCTAGAAGTTCGCCGTACAATGCGACGAAGGCAAGCGCGACCGCTACCAGCTGGTCTTCGCCTTCAACGCACATGTCTCCGCGGGGGCGCACGCGCCGGCAACCCGGGGGCGCGTGGAGTCAACCACCGGGCGCGCGTTCAGCGCCCCGTCGGGCTTCGGTTGCGAGACCCCAAACACGGGCACCAGACAGACTATTTCGCCCCGTGCCGCGGCAAGCCCCCGCGACGAGAAACCCCGCCCAAGTCCGCCCCCCCCCCCGTCTGGCGGAGCAGCTCGCCGGCGAGGGGGCCCTCGCGAACGACGCAAGCAGCATATCGTTGCACGTGAGCGCGCTGGCGCGCACACTAGCTACCTCGGCGCTGGCATCGCCCGCGCGCTCGTTCGGACTGAGCGCGCGGCCGTTGCCGGCATTCACTATGTTGCCCAACAATGGAGCGCCGCGCGACAAGAATTCAATGCGCTCTGCGTCGTGCCACCCAGACTCGCGCGCCAATCCCCTTTTTGATTAGCCTGGCGAAGGGCCCAACCATATGCAGTATTCAGCACCGTCGTTGTCTGCGCCGCATTCGGAGGAGCTCCCTATAAGGCCACGAAGCGTGTGAAGGGCGTACCAAAAAAAATCTGGTGGGCGCATGCGAGAGCAGCCACTTGGGCCGTCGGTGGAATTCCCTATGGGGCCACGAGGCGCGTGCGGGGCGTGCCGAAATTGGCGCGGCGGGCCCGCTCGGGGTGACGCATGCGGGCGGTGGCGCCGCGGCCTTCGGTGGAACTCCCTATGGGGCCACGAAACGTGTGAGGGGCGCGGCGAAATGGGCGCGGGTGACGCATGCGGGCGGCGGCACTGGCGCCTTCAGTGGAGCTCCCTATGGGTCCACGAAGCGCGCGCGGAGTGCGCCCGAATGGGCGTGGGCGACGCACGCGGGCGGTGGCGCCAGGGCCTTCGTTGGAGCTCCCTATGGGGCCACGAAGCGCGTGTGGGGCGCGACCAAATGGGCGCGGGCGACGCGCGCGGGCGGCGGCACCGGGGCCTTCGGTGGAGCTCCCTATGGGGCCACGAAACGTTTGAAGGATGTGCCGAAATGGGCATGGGTGGCGCACGCGGGCAGTGGCACTGCGGCCTTCGGTGGAGTTTCCCATGGGGCCACGAAGCGTGCGAGGGGCGTGACGAAGTGGGTGCGGGTGACGCATGAGGGCGGTGGCGCTGGCGCCCTCAAGGGTCCCTATGGGGCCACGAAACGTGCGAGGGGCGTGGCGACATGGGCGCGGGCGACGCAACCGGGCGGCGGCGCCGGGACCTTCGGTGGAGCACCCTACGGGGCCACGAAACGCGCGAGGGGCGCGCCGACATGGGCGTGGGTCGCGCATGCGGGCGGCGGCACTGCGGCCTTCAGTGGAGCTCCCTATGGGTCGCGCAACGTGCAAGGGGTGCGCCGAAATGGGCGCGGGCGACGCGCGCGGCTGGGGCCCTCGGTGGAGCTACCTACGCGGCTGCGAAGCGCAATGCCGGGCGGGCGCAACGCAGGGAGGAGGGGGGAGGGGGGGGAGTGGAGGAAGGAAGGAAGGAGGAGACTCGGGGACCGCCTCTTCAAAACGATGACCCAACACCACAGGATGGTGAAGGAAAACACAAAATGCACACGCCTGGGATAAGCGGCCGAATTTCCTGCGGCGCAACCTAAGTCGCGGCCTCGGCTGCCCCGGATGCCTCGAAGCGCGCCGCCCGGGCATCGACGCGACGAACGCGCTCCTCGCATTCGCCGATGCGCTGGCGGAGGCTGCGCGCAGCGCTCCCCCGCGACGCTTCCACGCCGTCGCCCCGCACGTCCGCGCGCTTCGGCCACGCGTCGCGGTGGCCGAGCGCCTTGCGCGCGAAACGCTCGGGCGCTAATTCGTCGCGCAGAGCTTGCGCGCTGGCCGCGCCAACCACCGATTGGAAGCTATTCAGATATACGCAGGATGCGTCTGGGAACGCTGCACCTGGCTGGACCCTCACTGGCTCCGTGGCTAACTGCGCGGGGCGCGCGGGGAGCGCGACCCCCGCGTCGGGCGGGGCGGGCGCGGCCCCTCACCGTCTCTTCTGGCACTTGCTCGGCGCCACCGGCGCCTGCGACCCGCCAGCTGCGCCCTCGGGCGGCCGCCGCCCCTGCCAGCAGTAGTTGCCCTTGTGCTCCTTGCCGCGGCCCCTGGCCTCGCCGCCCCCGGCGATGCAATCGCTGCCGCCCTCGCGGCCCCTGCTGGAGCCATTTGCCTCCCCCTTCGACTGCGCCGGCGCCTGGTCGCGCATCGCTGGGCACCCACGGGCGGCGCGTGCCCCACCTCGAGCACGATGGCCGAATTCTGCGACTGCGCGGCCGCGGCTACGTCGAAGGCGCCCAGGCCCGCTGAAACGTCGGCGCGCCGAGCGATCTCGCCATAGAAGACGGCAATCGCGGAAGAGCGCCGAGTGGCCCGCGCCGAGAAGGCGAGCTGCATCGCGACCTCCTCGTGGGCCATGGACGCCGCGAACAGCGCGCGGCCGGCGAGCTCCGCGACGATCGCCCACCTGTCGAACGCGACGCACCACTGCAAGATGATCGGCAAGTCCCCCTGCTTCTTGTCAGGGCCCCTCGCCCTGCAGACGCCGCGAGCGATCTCCTCCGCGAAGGGCCGCCCAGCGCGGCGCTCCTCGGGGGCCTCGGGCTGCTTCTTGTCCGCCGCGTAGCAAGGGGAAAGTTCTTTATCGGCGAGCAGAGGAAAGGCTTCGAAATGCCCTCGCTCTCCGCGGCCTCGACCTGGCCCTGCGCCCAGTCGGCCAGTCGTGGAGGCGGCCAGCGCGACAACGGCAGGCCTGCCGAGAACGTGCTACCCAGGCCCGCGGCGATGTCCACGTGGGCCGCCGGCTTGCGCCCGCCATGAAGCGCCTGCAGGAGGGCGCCCACTGGCCCCTGAGAGCCGCTTGGCGCCGCGGCCCCTGCCGCCACCTGCTGCGCGGCGGCCCAGCTTGCCTTTGCGACGGCGCGTTCGAGGAGTGCGACCTCGCCCTCGACCGGCCCGCTCAGCTGGAACGTTGCGGCCCTGACGTTGGGTTCGACGCAGTCCTGCGGGCCGTCGATGCCGTTGGCCGCCAGCACCTCGACCGCCGGCATCAGCCACGCGCGGTCGCGCTTCGTGCACTTGACCACCCCTGATTCGAAAAAATCGAAGAGCGGCGCGGCCATCGTTGGCGGTAGCGGAGCAAACCTGAAGGGCGCACGTCGAGTTGGCTGGAAATTAACTCGCTGAGCGAAACAGCCATGGACCGAAGGCGCCAGGAAAACGCGCACGCGGGACCCGCGAGAGCGGTCGCAACACGGGGCGACGCTCGAGCGCGCTACACCACACTTGCCCGGTTTTGGGCCGCGAGCTTGCGCTGCCCGCGCCCTGGCGGACGCAGGTGCTTCGGCAATACCAGCGCTGCAGAACGTGCAATTGTTTGGCGAGATGGGCACGCTCGAGCGCGCCCTCGCGCACGTCGCCTGAATGGACGCGCTGCTGGGTTACCCTCGCTCGGGTCGCTCAAGTGCGGGTGCGTTTGCAGCACCGTTGGGACTCCCTTGCGCGGGTGGCCGAACTACGGGTCGCCATCGTGCGGGTCGCCTGTCATAAGCACAATGGTCGCGTTGTTGGGTTGCCCACGTTCGGGGCGACCAGCTCTGCCGCGCGGAAACCACGCGCGGCCACCGCGCGCACCGCGCGAGCACGGGCGAGCGACGCGGAGGCGAGACCCCCGACGTTGGGCCACGCAGGAGACGGCGCGAAGCCAGGAACAGTCGACGCGACACGACGGCGACGCGACGGCAGCGGCGGCGGCGCCGACGGAGACGCGGCGGCGACGGCGAGCGACGGCGACGGCGGATGGCGACGGCGCCGCGACAGCGGCAGCGGCGAACGCGCCGCCAGCGGCGGCTACGCCCGACGACCGCCGGGGAGAAGCAGCGGCGACAACGACCGCGACGACGACAACGCGGCAGCGGCGGCAGCGACCCCGACGGGGGGGGGGGGGGGGAAAGACGCGGCAGCGACAGCGAGCGGACGGCGACGACGACGCGACAGCTGCGGCAGCGACAACGGCGACGGCGGCGGCCCCGCCCAACGACAGCGAGGGGCAAAACAGCGGCGACGCCGACTACAACGACGACGACGACGCGGCAGGGGCGGCGAGCCACCCCAGCGGCGACCGCGCGACGATGCGGCGACCGCGGCGGCAGCCCCGACAACGGCAACGGTCACCGGCGGAGCAGGCCGACGACCCGCGACTAGACGACGGCCGGACCGACGCGACCGAGAACGGCCGACGGGCTCGCGCCACGGGCGACCGCCACGCGAGCGCGGTGGAAGAGTGCGACTCCAAATCAAAACCTGCCAATCGAGCGGCGCCAGGGCGCGCCGCGACCCGCCCTGTGCGCGACCCCCGCGGCGCGCCTGCGCGAGCGACCGCAGCTGGCCCGCGCATGACAGCAAGGAGACATCAAGGGACGCGCGTGGGCGGCGCGCCCTGCGGTCGGGCAACGAGCGTCGCGCGTCGCAGGCGCCGCTGCGCCGCTGGCCCGCCGGCCGACCTACGATTTGCGCCCGCGCAGAGCCCCGCGGGTTTGCGCCCAAACAAAGTAGAGGAAAGAGGGAGGAAGCAACGAGGAGGAGGTCCCCCATCTTGTTTTGCAGGTGGGACTAGGAGGGAGAGGAGGAGGCCGTACAGATGCCACAAACGTCAGCATTACAATCATACTCGCCTTCATCGGCGGCATCATCTCCATCATCATCACCATCATCATCATCATCATCATCATCATCATCATCATCATCATCATCATCATCATCATCATCATCATCATCATCATCATCATCATCATCATCATAATCATCATCATCACCACCACCATCATCATCATCATCATCATCATCATCACCATCACCATCATCATCATCATCATCATCATCATCATCATCATCATGGTCGTGACCATCATCGTCATCATGGTCATGGTAATGATCATGACCATGATGATGATGATGATGATGATGATGATGATGATGATGATGATGATGATGATGATGATGATGATGATCAGCAGCAGCAGCAGCAGCAGCAGCAGAATCACCATCATAATCATCAGCATCACCATCAGCATCAGCATCAGCATCAGCGTCATCAGCATCATCAGCATCATCATCATAACCCGCAACCCTCAAGGAGGAATGAGGAACAGGAGGGGGGACGGGGAGGAGAACGAGGTGAAGGAAAAGGAGGAAGATGGAGGTTCCGCTCCTGGGGGTAAGACGCTGGCGCAAGGGGTGAAACGTTTCAGGGGGAGTGCGGGAGGGTCTGGAGGAATGGGAGAATCCCAAAGGATTGGAAGGAGTCCGGAGGGTTGAGGGGGAATGGGACGGTTGTGGGAGGTTTGGGAGGAGTGCGGAGGGTGGGGAGGACTGGCACGGGTTGCGGAGGTTTCGGGGGGAGTGCGGATGGGTGGGGACTGGGAGGGTTGAGGAAATCTCGTTCGGGAGGAGTGCGGAAGGGGTGGGGAGGAATGAGACGGCTGCAGAAGGTTTGGGAGGAGTGCGGAGGGATGTGGAAGGATAAAAAGGTTGCGGAGGTGTCGGGAGGAGAGCGGAAGGGCGTGGAGGAATGGGAGGGTTGCGGAGGTCTCTTTTGGGAGGTGTGCGGAGGAGTGGGAGGAATGGGACGGTTTCACAAGGTTTGGGAGGAGTGCGAGGGGATGTGGAGGCATGGGAGATTTTCGGAGGTTCCTGTTGCGGAGGGGTTGCGGAGGGGTGTGGAGGAATAGCAAGGTAGCGGAAGTCCCAGGAGGAGTGCGGAGGAGTGGGGAGAAATGGAGGGGCTCTGGGGGGTTCGGGAGAAGTGCGGAGGGATGTGAAGGAATGGGAGGGTTGCGGAGGTTTCGAGAGGAGTGCGGAGGGGTCTGGAGGAATGGGGGAGTTGCGGAGGTCCCGGGAGGAGTGCGGAAGGATGTGGAGGAATGGGACGGTTGCGGAGGTTTCGGGGGGACTGCGGAGGGATGTGGAGGAAGGGGAGAGTTGCGGATGTTCGGGAAGAGTGCGGAAGGAGGGAGAGAATGGCAGGATTGTGGAGGTTCCGGGAAGAGTGCGGAAGGGTGTGGAGGACTGGGACGGTTGCGGAAGGTTCGGGAGGAGTGTGGAGGGTGGGGGGGAATGGGACGGGTTGCGGATGTTCGGGAGGAGTGCGGAGGGGCAGAGAGAATTGGAAGGGTTCCAAGGGTTTCGGGTTGAGTGCGGAGGGATGTGGAGGAATGAGAGGTTGTGGAGGTCTCGGGAGGAATGCCGAGGGGTGTGGAGGAATGGGAGAGCTGCGGATGTTCGGGAAGAGCGCGGAGGGATGGACAGAATGGCAGGATTGCGGAGGTTCCGGGAAGAGTGCAGAAGGGTGTGGAGGACTGTGGCGGTTGCGGAAGGTTCGGGAGGATTGCGGAAGGGTGGGGGGAGTGGGGCGGTTGCAGAAGTTTCGGGGGGAGTGCGGAGGGTGTGGGGTTGGAGGGTTCTAGAATATTTAGGAAGTGTGCGGAGGGGCGTGGACGAATGGGCGTTTTCGAAGTTTTTGGGCGGAGTGCGGAGTGCGGACGACTGCAGGGGAGCGGCGAGGGCTGGGAAACAGCGGGGGGGGCGTTCGGAGGAGTTGGGGGGGAATTGAATCGCATTGAATGCCACGGGGGGCCTCCGGCGTAGGCCTCGCCCGAGAAGGCCCCCAGGGAAACCTCACGAGGACCCATGGGGGCTCCAAAACGACCCCCAGAGAGGCTTCGCGCGGATTGCCGGACGGACATAACAGGCGACAGCAATGGCAGCGTCGACGATGATGGTTGTATTCATGACGAGCCAGAAGCACGACGCGCCCGTGGCGGCCGCGCAATGCTGGAGGGGTCTGCCGGAATTGTCGGGGCGCGGCATGCGGACTCAGCCATCGGGGCCTTCCGTGGAGTTCCCGATTGGGCCACGAGGTGCGGCAGCGAGGATAATGGTGACGGCGATCATGGCGATGATGGTGATGATGTTTGCGCGCAGGCGGGACTACCTGGGCTTGAATGCAAGAGCCTCGCTTGTGACGAGGGTCAAGAAACAGCGCGGGCACGGCGCTGGCTTCGGGGCCGGCGGCTTCGGAACCGGCACAGTGAACCTGTTTAGCTTCAGCCGCCGGAGCAGCATGCCGGCCTGCCCCCGCGGGCGCCGCGACGACTCGGACGAGAGCCCGCCAGCGCGGTCTCTGGGCAGGTGATAGAAATTGGGGCGGACCCCACGTTGTGCCCGACGTGCTGGTTCTGGGGCATAATGACGAGCGCCGGCTTGCCCTCCAGCCACAGGAGCTGGATGGACAAGGGGAGGTCCTCCTCGGCGAACATCCACTCGTCCAGCACCGCGGCCTTAGCCTCGTCAACACCGCGGAGGCAAAACTGCCCCCCGCCCGGCCTCTCCTGCACGTGCTCACCGCCGAACAGCGGCCGCGCCGCCGAGAAGAGAAGGGACTCCCCCTCTCTGCCGAAGCGCCCGGCCAAGGCGACCACCGGGGCCGCCTCGGACCGACCGTGCTGCAGGGACATCGAGATGCTGCTGCACAGGTCGGGGACGTCGATGCGATTCATCGACGGGCTCTCGCGGACGCGGTGCAACCAGCGGCCGCCGCAAACGAAAGGCGCCCGCAGGGCCTCCTTGAACTGTTGCATGATGGGTTCCGTCGCGTCTTCGAGGGAGATGTCGACGTTCTCTCACGCCCGGGCCTTGTCGATGACCTTCTCCAGCACGTGCTCGTTCTTGAACATCCAGGCAACCACATCACGCGAGCAGGGCGTCTTAGCGCGCGCCATCAACTTGCGCACTGCGCGGGGGTCGCCCAGAGAATTTCGGATCCCGGACCTGACCGCTATCGGCCACAGGTCCACTTCCTCGACGCGAGGCTCTGGCTTCCACTTCTCGCCCTCGACCTGCTCCCGCGCGGTCCTGCGCATATCCGCAGCGCGGGCGGTCGTCGGCCCGCTCTTCGCCGCGGTCAGCGGCGGGTGCTCCGCGGGCCAAGCCAGGTAGTCAGCGCCTAGGGCGCTCCGCGGCTTGGGCGTCGCGTTCGCGAAATGCCCGACGGCCGACCAGCGCCCGTCGCGGCTGCAGGACCAGTGAGAGGCGAGTTGGTACCTGTTGAGCAGGGCCCGCTTCACGGCCAGGAATTTGCGCGTCTTGCCCAGGCGCAAGGCCACGCGGCAGCGCGCCCGCCGGACGCCTGCCACTGGAGCGCGGTATTCTGTTAATACCATCAGCCTCTTGACCCAGACGGGCGTGGCCCCCTGCCCACGGCGGCTGGCGCGCCGCGCGGGGCCGGCGTCTGGGGCGCCGCAGCGGCCCAGGAAAGCGTCGCAACCCTTCTCCCGCGAAAACCCCGCTGGCGCTTCGAGGCCCTCCTTGTCCGCGTGCGGCAGGGTCACCAAGTGGACCTCCCGCGAGGCGCTCCTGTTCTCCTCGCCGACGACCTGCTCGAGGAGCGCCGCCTGCTGGCCATGCTTCCCCACGAGCCTGCGGCGCTTCCCTGGCCTGTCCACCGAAAGCGCCATCCCCTGGCGCGACCCGGCCAGGACCGGCCCCCGCCCCGCTGAGCCGACAGGCGACGAAGAACAACGCCATGCGGACCGTCGGGGTTCTTCGGGGGCATCGCAAACCACCGCCTGGCCGCTCAGTTGGGGAGCTTGTCGCCCCTGACGTCATTCACGCACCTGTCGCACTTGGGCGCGCCTCGTTCACCCGGTGCACATGGCCCACCTGTCGCGCGCCGCGCGCCGGTCGCACGCGGCGCACTCGGCGCGCCTGGCGCCCGCGGCGCACCCCCTGCGCCTCTGGGCGGGGTCGGCGGATCCTGGCCATAGATGCCGCTCGCGCGGCATTGTTGGACATATGCAAACATGCGCAAAAACAACACTGAACCGACAGCGAACCATCAGTGAACCAAAAGTGAACCCACAGTGAGCCATGGCAAACTACATAGGGTGAACCTCGATTTCTATTGTATGTTCATTATACATATATGTATATAAATATATATAAGTAAATAGAAATATAGAACTTACCAATTGTCTAATCGAATCGAGCTTCACTGTGTTATTTCTTTGTCACGAAGGTTCACTGGAGGTTCACTGTTGGTTCACTGTTGGCTCACTACGTTTTCGCTGCATGTCTCGTGCGCGGAGCTCTCTGGGGTCGCCAGGGCGCTAGCGCCTGGGGGGCCTCTGCAGACAGAACTCGCAAAACGAAGATAAGCTACTTTCGATTACGCGTGCTGGCCCTGTAGCCGCAGGGGCGGTAAACGTACGGATTGGTCTCGATCGTGGACCGCGACTGACTCCCTTCCCGCGCCCCACGTCGCTCGCGCGGGTCAACCAAAGCGCGGGTCGCTGCGGGCCGCCCGCCGCCCCGGCCCGCTGCGGGCTGCGCCGCGGTCGCCCGCCGCCCTGGCCCGCCGCGAGTCGCGCCGCGGCCGCCCGAGGAAACCGCGCGCGGCGCTTGCGCGGGCGACCCAAAATGCCGTGGATGCACTCACAAGGCGTCGCCAACGCCGCGCGGCGCAGCCGGGCCAGGTACTGCACCCGCGTCTTCGCCTCGCTCACGGGTCACCTTCTCCTGCCCCCTCATGCGCCGGCGAAATCAAGCGGCATCAAATCAAGGGGCCGCTTCGGCAAGTCCAACGTCTGGATGCCAGCGGACTTCTTCGCCGCCATGCCCAGGCGAGATTTGTTGCCCGCGGGGTCGTTGACTTCCACGACGCGGAACTTGCCGCGCACGGATGGGCATGCCCTCCGAGCGCCCCCGAGCACATTCGCTCCGCGGCTGCGGCGTTCCACCTGCCGCCGAACATCTGGTGCCCCATCAACGCCTTGCCCGCGCCGATGGCGCGCGCGATGGTCACGCGGCCCTTGCCCGAACTCTGCTTCAGACCCTGGGGCCAAGCCACATCAGAGCGCGCCGTTGGCCACTGGCCTGGCGCTGAATGGCATCGGCGCGGTCTTCGACTTGCGCCAGCCCACGAACCTTACGGTTGTTCGGCTTGACGCGGCCCACAGAGAAGTCCCGCTCACGCTTCCTGCAAGCCCCGCGAACCTTGCGTTTCGACGCCACATTCCTGCACTTCGCAATGGGCAGCACCTGGAACACCTTGATGCCCATGCACGCGTGGATGTACTGCGACCACTGGCTGGGACCCCGGCGCTTGCGCTCGCGGGCGCACAGCAGGCGCTCCTTCGCGTTCCCGTCCGAAAGGTCAGGTTTCTCGCGCAGCGGGTGGAAGAATTTCAATTTCATCTCAGACTTCAGCATGGCTGCCGTCACTTCCTTTGTGCCGCTAGAGGACTTGAGAAGCTTCTTGCAAGCGCGCTGAGCCGCGAACAACCCTTTTGGGGTGCGGATGGAATGCTTCGAGCGGCCCTTGGACTTCTTGGTCGCGTTCTTTTTGAACAGGTGCTTCGAGACGGTGTCCGTGGAGCGGCTCAAGGCTGCGGTGATCCTCTTGACGCCTATGCCGCCGTCATGCAAGCGGCGCATTGCGACGTGCTCGTCGGCAGATACATGAGTGAAGGATTTCGGCGACATCCCCCAGCTGTGGACACAACGACGGGCGAAATTCGCTCGATCCAGAAAACGCTGCGGCCATCCTTCCAACGGGGGCATCCTGAAAATGAATGCAGTCCAATGAGTGAGGGCATCCTATATCTCGGATGCCCTTTTCCATCGATAATTAGCGCCATGGGTTCGAATGGCTTCTGTCCGTGAAAAGGGCCAAGATTTGCGCGACATGCGCGCGCAGGTGCGCAAGGGGGGTCCATTTTGGGATCCCCCCTCGCTGCTGTTTCGTCGGCTGCCCGGTGGCAGCATCGTTGGCTGCCTGGTTCCTGGTGGCCTGCCTGCTCGGCTGCATGTTGGCTGCCTTGCTGGCTGCCTCGATGGCTGCCCCGTTGGCTGCCTTGTTGGCTGTCTCGGCTGCTGTCTCGTTGGTTGTCTCGTTGGCTGCCTCGTTGTTTGCCTTGCCGGGTGCTGTGTCGGTGGCCACGTTGGTTGCCTCGCTGGCTGCCCTGTGGGCCGCCTCGCTCCCTGGCTGGCTGTCTCGTGGGCTACCTCGTTGGCTGCCTCGTGGGCTACCTCGTTGGCCGCCTCGCTGGCTGCCTCGCCGGTTGCTTCGACGGTTGTTTTTGTTGGGCTGCCCCGCGGGCTGCCTCGTCGGAGGCCTCGTTGGCCGCCTCGCTGGGTGCCTCGTAAGCTGCCTCGTTGGCTGCGTTGTTGGTGCTTCGCCAGCTGCTTTCCTGAAAGCCTACCAGACAACGCCCCCATCAATATCACGAGCGAGAGCCTCTCCATCAGCCACGGCGACGATGAAGGGAGTGTGGTAACCCAGGACCGAAGGACGGCGAACGAGTGAACCGCACGTGCGGAGAAAAAATCGCAATCATGCGTATGCACTGACGATATCACCCTGGGTAAGAAAAAATCGACCTGCTCGCAGCCTGGGGAACGATGGGGCCTCGGAGGCCTCAGGATGGCTCTAGACAGCCCTCCACAGGACCGTCTCCAGATTTCGACAATGCACCCAATGTCTATTGTGGACGGCAACATGTAACCCTGGGCAGGCAAAATCGAACTTCCCGCATGTCCAGGGATCCAGGGGCCTCCGAGGCCTCAGGACGGCCCAAAGCAGCCCTCCACAGGACCGTCTCCTTCCATCTCTCTTCCGGCCCCCTCCGATCTCCTCCCCCCTCCCCTCCCCGTTCCTCTTGTCCCTTCCCCTCCCCTCCCCTCCTCCCCATGCCCTCCCTTCCACTCCCATCGCCTCCTCTTCCTTGCCTCCTCTGATTCACTCCTCCCTCACCTGCTTCGAAATCCTCTACGCTCTACCGCTTGATCCTCCTCCCCACCACCTCCCATCCTCATCCTTCTCATTCCTCCTCTCTTCATTACTGTTCCTACTCTTCCGCATCCTCATCCTCACCCCCATCCTCCTCTTTCTCCTCATCCTGATCCTTATCCTCCTGATCCTTCGCTTCCTTTTCCACCTTCTCCCCCAAGTCATTGGATCTTGAATGTATGAGGGGTCGCTTTGAGCAAGATACAAAACTACAAAAACCATGCCATGGACAGTAGATGGACAATATATTCGAACCCTTACACCTTCGAAGGAGATTCTAAATCACCCCCGCGCCCCAGATATCAATGTTGATCTCAGTAACGGCGGTGCTTTGGGGTTCGAATATTTCTGTCCACTCACGCCCCCCCGTCGCCACGCCATCAATATTAATTTTGGGGGGTCTGGGGGGCATCTTGGGCCACAGGGTTCGAATATAAAGTCCATGTACGGGAGGAGGAGGAAACGAAAGATGGGTCGCAATGGGCGACTGTTAAGTCCAATGGAGCCGCAATGGGGGCGGAATGGGGTCACACAATCAAAAGACGGTCGCCGACTGACGACGACGGGCTGGAGACGGAAGGGGGCAGAGGATAATGAGGAGCAGGAAGAAAAAGGATGGAATAGCAGGGTGAGAAGGAGAGAGAGGTGAGGTGAAAGCGGTCGCGAATCGAGCACATGTGAAACTAACGCTGCCCTGAGCACCACGAGGACCGAGATCACAGGGAAGTGCCTGAAGACCACCGCAGATGAGCAGCACCTGAGTAAAGAAGGTGCACACCAAGACGGGGACGCCAATGAACGCCCCAGTCCCAACCTGCAGGATGTCGGCTTCAATGCACCCCACGATCACACATCGATCGCCTGACAGAGTGACACGATACCTGGGGACCTGAGGAAAGCCCACTGTTTGCACGCAGAGCAGAAATTTGACCTCCTCCCAGACCGCTTCGAGCCACGAGGTGGAGACCACCTCTGCACCACGAAGAAGCACACAGCGAAAGTGGACCCTTCGGGGAAAAACTTCACCATACTACATGTCCCTCAATAGCTTCTTACGTTGTGTTTCGGTGGATGGACTAAAGTGTCCACACTTGTCTCGCCAAGACCTTGAGTTATCAAAGCACGTCGGACCATAATGTATACCCCCCTTTCTCCAAACTCAAAGTTAACGGGTGTGGGCGGTAGGCCGCAGGCCAGGGACAAAATGTGGACACTTCAACTTTGATTTCGGGGGGGGGTGCGAAGCAAGAACATTTCCCAACTGTGGTTGTCATCATGTTGTATCGCCTTACCGCCATGGGTGTGGACACTTTTTGTCCAGCCACCGTTGCTCCCTCAAACAAGGCCAGAACACTGAATGCGAGAACAAAGACAAAAGATCAAAATGTCCCAGCCGTGCCCGCATTGCCCAGCACTCACCGCCAAGCAGGACAGCACCTGTGCATCCTGAGAAACCAGTGGATGACATACCAGCAAGAATTGCCACAGGTTCGGACCCGAGGGCAGCCGCGCACCTGAATTGAGTAAACCGAAAATGATGTATACTGTGAGAGACGCTTTGCTTCCACGAAAGCCCAGTACACCAACAACATTGAAATAGCCAGCGAAATACATTCCGCAAGCCCCTGATGTGGTGGCCAAGGAAAAGCGCCTCGACACCAGGACGACACGAACCACCGCGCGAACATAGCAACTGGGAACACTCCGAGGCCCAGTTGCTGAGGGGATGCGCGCTGACGCCGGAACTATTCATCGAAACACTGAGGCGAAAAGTCTGCGCCCCAATATTATTCATGGCCCAGTGGCGGAGGGGATGAGCGCGGCCGCCAGGACCAATGTGCGCACGGCGCCACGAGAGAAGTATCACCCGCGATACGTTGGCCGAGCAAGGCTGCCTCGCCAGCAATGAGGTGAGAGCCATCAAGCGAAGACTGCGCGCAGGGGCACTGCGCGCTGCGGCAGCCGAGGGGGCGCGCGCTGGCGCCGGGAGGGCCCAATCAAACACTGAGGACAAAATCTGCGCCTCAGCCTTGCCCGCGGCCTGGCGGCCGAGGGCCGCCAAGACCAGTGTGATTGGCGGGGCCAGACTAAGAATTCCGTGCGCATGATGTATCGAAGTGAGCCTTGAAACAATCGAGCTTCAGAGCCAACTTCGCCACCCGAGAACCGTGAAGCGCTGCCAGAAGTCATTGTACGATGTCTTCCCCTTCGTCCTGCACGTGCTGCTGAGATAGACTTCGCTCGAAAGTGAAGGCGACTGCAGATGACTACAGCACCCCTCAAACACCACGTGGAGGTCCACGACGGGATCTGAGTGCCACTGGTGAGCCAGACGGCTGCGGCAGCGCTCGAACCTTTGGCTTGGGTGGGGAGGAGGATTTCGAAGGCGAGGCAAGAGGAGGAGGAGTAAGACGAGGCAAGAGGAGGCAGGGGGCTGGAAGGAGGAGGGAGGAGGGAGGAAGGGGGAGAAAGGGAGCGACGCAGGAGGAGGAAGGGAGGGAGGGAGGGAGGGAGGGAGGAGAATGAGGACGAGGAGGGGGAGGAGGACCAGGAGGAGAAGGAGAAAGAGGCAAGAGGGATGGATGAATGCGGAAAAGGAGGAGGGAGTGGGAGGAAGCAGAGGAACGAGGCAGGAGCAGCCGGCAGGAGGGACGATGGCAGAGGGAGGAGGAGTAAGAAAAGGATGAGGATAGGAAGGATGAGGAGAAAGAGAGAGAGAGAGAGAAAGAGAGACAGAGGGAGAGAGAGAAGAAGAGGAGGAACGGTTACCCTCAACTTGAGAACGAAAAAAAAGAAGAGGACGGCGGGAAGTAGACGAGAAGGGAGGAAGACGGGTGAGGAAGCGGAGGAAGAGAAAAGGGGGAAAGAGACGGGAAGGTGATGGGAGGAAGGTGGGAGGATAGGAGGGGAGGGGGCAGCAGGCGGGAGGGAGGAGGACAAAGGGAGAAGGATGAAGAGAATGGCAGGGCAGTGGCCGGCAACTTCCCGCCCCCCAGCGTGTCCGAGCAGTTCGGGCAGGTCCAATCCCCCGGCTTGGGGCCATCGCCCTTGCCCCCGCCTGGGTCAGGTGGGTCCAATCCCCCTGCAACTGCGATCCTCCTCCTCGTAAACAAATCCCCCCTGTCACACCACCAGACACGTCCGTAGGCTGAGCCAGAGTCGCCTGAGACCTCCTTTGGAGTCATGACCCTGAAACAAAAATTGAAAGTTCTACTGGAACGCAGGGCCGGTCGTTTTCAAAATGCAGTTATCGCCCCAACGCCACTTATATTCGTTTCAAACGCGTCCAACAACTACACGGATGGAGGGCTGGTGGTTTTCATAGTGCGGGCCTCGCCTTAGCGCAGCGCACAGTCGTTTCGAACGCTTACAACATCTACCAGGTGTTGGCACGGCGGGGTCGGGCGGATAATCGCGAAGCGCTGCACTACCACATTTTTCCAATAGACAAATGAGTTTGAGCCACGCCAGTTGCAGGACAGGTGAGAGAAGCGTGCACAAGAGGAGCATACACAACGAAGTAGCTGATGGTTTCACGTGCTCCGGAAACGTTTTTTCCGAAGCACGTAACCGACCGACAGGACAGACAGACAGAGAGAGAGAGAGAGCTGATATATGTGCCAACAGCTCCCCCGAATGATTGTCGACATGGCTGTCTGGTCGACTGGAGACGGACGTCTCGAGCGGCAAGGTAGCGTTTGCTGGCCTCCTTGCTCCAGTGCTGCTTAACTCCCTCGGCTGCGAATGCTGCGCGCTGCTCATCGGCATCGTTGAGAGCCAATTGCCCAGTCCTGAGCAGATGAGAGAGTGCCTCCGAACCCTTGGCTGTGTCATCCTTGGTCATATCCGTTGGATTCAAAGGTGCGGCACCCATTTGGCACACGAGCCAGGGGCTCTTTTTAGACCGAGCGTCGAAGATGGACTTGGCGTCAAAGGAATGGACGCCTAGAGAAGGATTCTGAAAGTGCACAGAGACGAAGTGCCCGACGTCTTTCCGCCAGTCGGAGGTGGGCGACTCGCCAAATCGAGCACTACGATCCAGAAGCTGTATCCACTCAGCCTCGCCCGCCACCTGGCAGAGAGAGTGGGCCTCACCAGCTAGAGAAGAATTCGCGGCACGCTTCATCTTGGAAGGCCTCCAGAGAGAACTGAAACCGCGGCCGAAGAGCCCGTGGCAAATTGAGAGTCTGCAATGCCAGCCAGCCCCGCGTTGTGAACAGGATCCTTTGTGCCGATACCAGCCGCATCACTGGCCGTCATGGCCACCATCTGAAACGGGTCATGCTTCCAAAGCGCGATGTACTGCGCAGCCGCGTCTCGCAACATCTGCACTGCCTTGTTGTGAATCTGGATACCCTCGATCGTGGCCTGGCAGAGGCCGTTGGCACGAGCGGAGGCCGTGCCCGACACGTCGGGTCGCGACTCCTCGGTGACGCAATTGAATCGATAGACTCACGAGCGAAACAAAGCAAATCTGGCAGGCGTCAGAGGGCCCCGCCGTTTCGATCGCCGGCCGAGCTCGAGCGGGATGGTCTTGAGCTCCTCGAAGATGCATTTCTCCAAGTCTATCCTAATCCGGCGGCGCTCCTTCCGCACGCGGCGGCCAACGAACTCGACCTCGTCGCCGCGCCTCCTGCCGAATGTGAACCGAGCCTGAAGACGGTCGGATAACCGCTTGGTCTAGTCGGAGATAGAGCCCAACCAAAGGTCGCCAACCACGATCAGTACCTGAGCCACTACCTGGTCGCGAACCCACTTCGCCCACTAACGCGGCTCGAGCAGCAACTTGCGAAAACCTAGCTCGGACAGGAAGGAGGTCGGAACCACGCCACTCCTATGGCGCGTCGTCCAAAGCGAAGACGGCAACCTCGAGCTCGACCAGGCAGCTCCAGGACGCCAGTCAGCCCCTCGCGCGGCACCACGTAGATGGGGCCGCCGGCGCGGCCCAAAGGTCAAGATTGGCTGAAGGCGTTCTCGCAGTCGACTATGGCCTGAGCCATGTCGCACGACAAGAGTGCAAGGGCGAAGATCAGCATCGACTCCGACTGAGGGGTCGGGGAGTATGTGATCAGCTTCTCGGCGCTTGGGTCGCGAAATCCGTGGACGCACCATCTGCTCTTGGCCTTCCTGGCACTGAAGGCACCCTCCTGACCCCTCCACCTCCGCACCGCGCGGCGGGACCTGCCCGGCCCAGTCCGCGTCGCGTGCTGGGACTCTGTCTCCGATGACCCACGAAGGACGCCCGGGCGCTTCAACGCGCTCCATTCAGCACTGTCCGAGGCCCTGAACTGTTCGCGCCCCTCAAGGCCCAGACTGCTCAGCTCGACCTCGCCGCTCTCGGAGGCCCGGGGGGTCCAACCGCTCGCGCTGTCCCCAGCGGCGTTGTAGACGAGATCCGCGCTGCCGTCGGCGCACTCGCAGGCCGAACCGCTCCAGCCCTGGCCCAGGCACCACGAGTCGCAGGCCTCGCAGCAGGCGCTCAGGAGCACGTCGTCGGCCGACCTGCCGCGGCCAAGCTCCTGGCCCACGGCCCCCTGCCTGAGCCCAGCGGCCCCAGCTTAACAAGCGCATTCGCATGCACGCGGTAGCAGCCATGATGGGGCCGGAAGCGCGGCCGTGCGCAGCTGCTCGGTCGTCGGAAGGCCGCAGTTGAAGGCCCGGAGGTCGTCGGGTCGGATCGCTGAGCCTGCTGCCCGAGAGTCGGCCACTGCCTGGTTGGCGGATCCTGGTGCCCACGAATCACAATGAACCCGCAGTCGCTTGGCCCCCGAGCCAAGACTGCCGGCGTCCGAAGGTGCCAGCGAGACCTCTGAAGCCCTCCTCGAGAAGACGTCGAAAGGCAGAGCGGGGGCTCGGCCGCGGGTTCAGAGCCGCGCCGAGACCAAACGGCGCCCACGCTGCCTGCTGGTGGCGCGGGGGCCTGCGCTGCAGCAGGAAGAGCCGCAGCGTTCTCTTCTGGAACAGACACTAGCCTCGCCACTTGACCGAGATCGCACGCAAGCCGACGCCCTCCAACTCGCGAAGTAGTCGGAGCCGCCTCGGGGCCCGCCGGAGGACTGCTGGCTGAGCTCAGGGGCAACGAAAGAGGTAGGAGAGGGGAACCTGGGCATCGCGTTCCTGGAACATTCGGGGGCACCCATGTCTTCCCGACGCCGGACCTCGGCCACAGGTTCGATGGCACTGGGGCCCGACGGCGCGGTGCCCATCCTGCTGGCTTCCTCTGGCGCGCTGCCGCAGACCTTGGGACCTGCTTGGAGACCTTCTTGAATAGCTGCCAGGGGGTCCCAAGAGCCTCTGGCGGAGGAACTCCGCCCTGTGCAACATCCACTGCGCTGCCCGAGATACTCCGATCGAAACCCTTGGAGAGAACCGAGCGATACGCCGAAGACTGAATAAGCTCTGCGCCCGACGACTCAGATTGAGTTGCTGGACGTACCTGCTCGCTGCTGCATGTCCAAAGCTTGCTCCTCGTTCCAATCCACGGTGTGGTACCTTGGCGATAGATGACTGAAACAGGACATACCCAACGACCTCGTTGAAGGCCGAAGGGCTTCTTGCTAGAGGATGGAGCACGGCGCCATGCGCACACCCTGTCGCCAGACACGTAGACCTCGTCACGATGCCACTCGGATCGAAGGGCGAGTCGTTTATCACTGCGAGCGTCTCCCTCCATCGCTAGGTTCTTGGCCCGCGTACAAATGAATGGCGCGCTGAAGATGGAATGCGGCTGCCGCGCTGTCTATGTCTCCACTGGCTTCCGAGACATCGCGGAGGCCTACGTGATCAAAGGAGGTCCTCGCTCCACAATTCCCGGGCAATCTGGGATTCTGGCCGAATGCGAGTTGCGACGGCGAGTACCCGCCCCTGTCGAGGAAGCGGGTCCGCCAGGCCGTCAGCTCAAAAGCAGCCCCCATCGAGGTCCCCAGCGCTATCTAGGAGGACCTCCTCCACAGTCTTCAGCAGACGTTCCTTGAGTCATCGTTCGGTCTTGCCGATTTGCCGGGGGCTCTCGGCGTCGGCAACATGACGATGGCATCCGGTCTTTTCCGCGAAGCGGTCGAACTCGGCCTCGAACTCGGCTCCGCCGTCCGACGCCATCGCCTCGGGCGGGCCATAGCGGCGAGACCCGGGCGATCACCTGCCAAACCTCGCCAGGCAGGGCGCGACGACCGTGGCCAACGAGACCCACCCAGTGAAGACAGGTCCCCAAGCAGACAGCATTCAGGAAGGTATGAATACGCCCGTGATAAACGAGGTAGAGAAGGTCGATGCATACGGCGAGGGCATAGGATAAGGAACCATTTGATGAGGAATCCTGGGGAAGCCAGCGGAACTCCCATCGTGCACTGGCCACGGATAACATTGCCGCCCTCATCAGAACGGGAACCCCCCAGGGTCTGAAGCCTCCTTGACACATCCCTTAACCAACGCCCACACCGTATGATCTCGTGAAATGCGCACGCTCGCGGCGCACATGCCCTGCGCTGGGTGGCAGGACGATCTGCGCTGGAACATGCCTGGAACGCAAAATTTTGCGCAGCTTATAGCACCCCGGGTCGCGCGCGCGCGCTCCGTGGGATTCGCAATGGTCGCGATTCGGAATGCGCGCCCTCTTTACTATCTTCATTTGCTCTCAGGGGAGCACGGGGCCACTTCCTGCCCCTCCGTGGTCCTCGTTTACTTCTTCGGCTTCCGCTTCAGCGCCCTCCTTACTCGCTGCGACGCCGACCCAAGATTCCGATGGACCCTCGTCGTCTAGGAGGTCTGGCTCCTCGAGACCCGTGGAGTACAGAACGCTGCACTCGTTCGCCACGCGCGCGGACCGAAGCACGCCGTTCGCGACAGCGCGGTATAACATGTCAACGTAAACCGACGCTCCGGAAGCGACCCACTCCCCCACGAGCACCGCGCGCTCGCGGTCTCCAGTGCACCTCTTCCGAGAAAGAGAGTGAGGGAGAGAGGGGAAAGAAAGAAGAACGACAAGCTCCGGGCAGTTGGCGACGATGGCAGCGGGCCTCTCGTTTAGCAATTACCCAGAGACCCCAAGCCCGAACCCGC